AAGTTTCTCACTTAACCAAATGCTGACTTATACTGATAATAGCAAATGTTTATTGGAAGTCTCTATTGTTATAACAAGTAATGAATGTGTCCATAACCATCAGCCACTGTGTAGAAAATATGGTTTCTCACAAGAAGACTCTTCCCTCAAGGATATTTTTAGGGTAGCTATAAAATAATCCCATCACCTCTTCTCTGCAGAGATTTCAAGGGAAAACTACCTCTCTAAATGGAGGCTATGATTTTTGTCACCATCCCACCAGGGATTCTCTGTATCCTGTTTGTATTTCACAAGATGCTTTAAACTCCTTGGGGGCAAGGTGTTGTGAAATTACTATTATTATCTACCTCCTATTTTCATCTGTATTTATTTCTCTGTTAAATCTTATTAGTGGTTTCTGCAAAAGCCAAACACAGAATGCTACCTTGGAGGGTTAACAAACCATTAAAAATAACCCAGAATTGCTTCTGAAGTGGAAGTAAAATGCAGCAAAAAAAAATTTAAAAAGACCATCTAGAAAGAAAATCAGAATGAATACACTTACTACTTTGAGCATTCCTCTAATCATCTCCCAAGATGTTTTTCAAATAATGAACTATTGACCTAACTTACCACCTCCATAGTGAGAGCCCATCAAAAACCATTCCATCTTGATTGCACCATCTTGTAAAATATGAGTAGGCCCCACTGAGACACCCTAGGTTGCGATGAAGATTTACCACAGTTTTAAATTGTTTATTCCCTCCTTCCCCCACCCACACACTATTTGCATACCTTATTATAGCACTTATAATTTTGAATTATGATTGATTATATTCTTTTCTTTAAGTTCTTCCAAGTAACTAACTACATCTTACTTATTTTGAATAACTTCAGTACCTAGCAGAGTTCGCAATAAAAAAGAAGTAAATGTTCTTATACTAAATGACTCAATTGATCAATTCCACCTGAAGAACAGTACAATTAATTGACTAACATTTGTTAGCTCTTTCATTTTAAAATCACCTTTTAAAATATCACAGACAGACATCAGACTTCTCAGCAGAAACCTTACAGGCCAGAAAGGAATGGCATGATATATTTAATGCAATGAAATAGAAGGACCTCAAACCAAGAACACTGTATCCAGCAAGATTATCATTTAAATTTGAAGGAGGGATATTAAACAATTCCCAGATAAGCAAAAGTTGAGGGAATTTACCTTCCACGAACCATCTCTACAGTGTATTTTAAAGGGACTGCTCTAGATGGAAGTGCTCCTAAAATATTACAGACAAAAGTCAATAATATTAGGGTTAAAAGAAGTGCTAAATAGAGAATAGGCTGAGTGAGTAGTCCCTAGAATATGCTAAAGGGAGCATCATTGTTTCTTCTTGTTTTAAGATTAACAAGTAATTGCAATTTGCAATCAAATTTGAGAACCACAGACCTAAAACATAATGGAAGATTAGTAAGTATAAGGTAAATGAGTGAGTGAATAAATGAAAAAACAGTTGATTAGAACTCAGTGCTCATTGCTCAGTATCTGATTGTTATATAGAAACACCCCTTTGCTTAGTTTCAAAGCCACAGCTGTAATCCTAAATAGCTGTCTTGGAAATGATGACTTTTAATTTAAGCACCATCCCTTTACCACTCCTGGAAGAGCTACGCATAGTGGGTCAGTAGCAGGTTCTCTGTTTATTAAGGGCAGTGTACTATGCAACCAGAATGAGTAAAAGGAATCCTTGGAAACACTGAAGATATACAGTCCTGTACAAGACAAATGGGTGAGTATGATAAGGGAAATTGGTTAGCAAGGCAAACCCTCCACAGATTTTGAAAAATGGGAGATGTCAGCTATCCAGACAAAGCAAATATACAATATCCAAAATCATTATAACATGAAATTTTTAAAAAATATTTGTTTTCCTCTGCTTTCTCTCAATCATTAAACTCCTCATGCTGTTCTCAGAGGAGGAAATATTCACAGTGATTATATTTTGGCCTTTGGTGAGCTTCTTGGACTAAATGGATTGACTAGTATTGTATAAGTTATTTCATCATCCTTTCACACTTAGCTTGAGCCAGGAGTAGAGAAAAACGTTAAAAATCCTATCAACTACTGACACTCTAAAAGACAGTTATGATTCTCCCTTTGGGTAATCCACATTTTCCTTTAGTTCCTCTCATCAGCCATGCAATAGCCAACATAGTAAGTTGGCTGAAAGAATTTGATCAACTTAAGGCAGGGAATCTTCTCTTTTCTTCACAAAACTCTCTTTTTTCCATCCTGGTTGTAAGGGCCTGATGCTAGGCCATATGAATTTTGACAAGGATCCTTTTATCTCATTTCTAAATTATTAAGATGCTACAAACTACAACTAGGAATGGTAGCTATTTAATAGACCCTACAATTGTTCAGAGTGGATACAAACATAGAATTAATTTTAGATTAAGTATTATTGGCTAAATGACTTCTATTTAAAGTGAGAATGATTTATTTGACTCTAGGAAGTACTCAAGAAAATAGAAATGAATCCTATAGTTTAAAAGAGATACCAACCAATTGCAGTATATGGATCTCATTTAGAATCCAATTTTAAAAAAACAAAAAATAACTTAAAATTCTATAAGACAATTGGTGAAATGTGAACACTGACAAGATACTTAATGATATTAAAGAAATACCAAATTTTTATGGTATTAAAGTTGTATCCTATTTGAGCCCTTTTCTTATTAAAAATACATAATTAAATATTTATAATGAGATGACATGTCTGGGAACTGCTTCCAAACTTTCTAGACGTAGGAATGGATGTGAGTATTGATAAAACAGAAATGGCCAAATAAGTGCTGAAGCTAGATAATTAGTATATAGGGTTTAATTTACTCCCCTCTCTCCTGTCTGTATGTGTATCTATAAATGGAGATATATAAATATTTATATGTATCTATACTTTTACTTGTTCATTATGGGAATTTTCAAATATAAATACATTTGAAATTTCCACAATAAAAAAGGTAAACAACCAGGAAAAAAAAAACCCAGGTAATAGTATGGTCAATGATTACAACAATTAGATATCTCTTGATGTGGTAGGGCCAGAAGAAAATAGTAAATACAAAAATGTGCATAATAAACTTTAATATAAGACACCCCACTTTCATATCATTGAATAAAGAATAGATGTCAGTCCAGAACAATTCTATCTAGAACTCCATCTTAAAACATTTAATTCTGAAAGTAACAGTCTTATTGACATGAGAGTCTCCCACATGGATTATAGAGTAAGGCAAGTAAAGTAAGCATCTAAGGTACTATATTTAAATGTTATCCTGTCCTATTTAAATAAATTTCCCTTTACCATTCATTCCCTCAGTGAATATCTTCATGATCTACTATGTCCCAGAGACTGTTTTAGATGCCAGGGAGGCTATGATGAATTTATACAGTTTCTGTCTTGAGGGAACTGACAGACTATGGGATAAAAGCTATTTAACAGATAACCAAATATATAATTGGATTTGTGATAAGTGTTATAAAATAAAAATCACGAGATATTTGTTATCTAGGGTTATTTGCTATATAGGGCCATATAACAAGCCCACCTCATCTCTAAGGAGGGTGATGGGCGGCAAGGGGTTCATAGAGGAAGACTTTTCTAAGTCTTGCTCCCAATAGGAATGGGAAGCTATTACAGGGTTTTAAATAGATATGGCATAATAAACAACTAAAGTACGTTGAGTACATATGGGGCAAGTACATGTTAAGTCCCAGTTTTGTCACTTACTATGTCACCTTCAGTGTCCACATCTTTAAAGTTACAAAACAGTAATTCCTCTTCTGAGCATTATATTAAGCACTAAATGAGATAATCCATAGCAAGTGCTCAAAAATATTACCAATTTTTAACACAAGAGAAGCAAGATGGGAACTTCAGCCAGTCTGTCAAATTCAAAGTGTTTGATCTGATGTTGAAAGGAAAACCATATTTCTTTTGCACTAAGCCTTTTAAAAATCATTAATTGACTTTTGAAAGCCTGTAAAATTATAACCCATTTTTCAAAATAAAAATAGTCAATTTTCAAACTAGTGATTAATGTGGAATATTCCCATGTTAAAAGATTACTAAGATTTCTAAAGAATCTATTTTATGTTCATATCTTATGTTCATTGCTTATTTATAGTATCAGTTTATCTAAAGTGCATTACAAAATCCAAGTATTCAACCACAACATTTCCCTAACTTCATCACCAGGTTCTGTCATGTCCATGTCTTGCCAGTGGGTTTCAGCCCCAGGCAAGTTCACTATGGATTCAGTGTGACCAAAGAAATGACAGTAGAACATTCTTGGGGTGAAAGGGTTTGTTACCCGGCTTGTTCTCCAGACGGTAGGTAGAGCACTAGCATCTCTGCCTCTGCCCAGAGCACTGGGCTAGCTCGCAATATAGTGCAATCACAGCTTATTGCCTGTGGGTGTGAGAGCAGTAGCTTGGCAGCAGGCCAGTTACATCATCAAGTGGTTTAAGTTTAGTGAGGATCCTGGCCATAGGAACCCCAGCTTCCCCATATCCATAAGTCATAATAATTACAGCTTGGCAAAGTAAGGAATTAGCCTGCATTCAGACTCCTACTTAAACATCTCATCTTGTATTACTCAAACAACTTAAGATTTTTTTAAACTCCCAGATTTTTTCATTTATTCTATCCTCATTACTACTGTAAAAAAAAAAGCTTGCTGTTCTTTGTTCACCAATTTCAGCTGCTATGAATTTCATGACAAGATCAAGGATTATGTTATTGCTTTGTTTCTTAAGAATAATTGACAAATGTTAAAATTGTTCTTCTAATAGCTGTGCTTAGAATTGTGTTTCCTTGTCTTTGGTTTTCTTGTAAGTTTCAGTGTTGGTCTGGCCACACTTATTTAAAAATGAAGAGCCAAAGTGAACCACTCTGGTCACTGCTGTCTGCCGGTTTCCCTAGCACAGCATCACGCTCAAAGCAGAGGCTACTTACAGAGGGAAGGGTGCTGTGCTGGAAGTGAAGGCAGTTGGTTTCCAGAATCATGACTGTAATTCATAGTTGTGTGACATCAGTAAACCTTTCACTGATGGTGAGACTCTGGTCCTTTTATCTGCAAAATAAAGGAGGTAGACTAGATTAAGGGTTACAAAGAATTGGGCATCACTGGAGCAGGTTTCTTTGCAAGCTAAATCCATTGTGTTTTGCTCAGCCTGCAAAATGCTATCTAGGCAGGACATTCACTTCCTAGTACATCATAGCCTTACCCCTTCCTTTTCATCTTTTTTGAATTAAGACTTCATTTCTGGAATAGCTTTATATTTATGGAAAAAGTGAGCAGAAGTATAGAGTTTTCATATAGCCCCTGCACACAGCTTCCTCTGTTACCATCTTATATTAGTATGGTACATTTGTTACAATTAAGGAACCAATGTTGATACATTATTAGCTAAAATCCTTAGTTTATTTGAATTCCTTACTTGTTACCTGATGGCCTTTCCTATTCTAGGATTCTGGCCATGATGCTACATGACATTTAGCCATTGCATCTCCTCAGTCTCCTCTGGGCTGTGACAGTTTCTCAGACTTTGCCTTGTTTTTTATGACTTTGACAGTTTTCAGGAGTACTGGTTAGGTATTCTGTAGGATGTTCATCCACTGGCACATGTCTGAGATTTTTCTCATAGATAGACTTGTGGTCCTGGGTTTGGGGGCGGTGGGATCACAAAAGTAAAGTGCCCTCCTTATCACATCATATCAAGGGTACATACTATCAACATGATTTATGACTGTTAATATTGACCTGATCACCTAGCTGAAGTGATGTTTGTTAGGCTTTTCTGCTGTAAAGTTACTTTTTCCTCCTTTCCACACTGTATACTTCAGGAGGAAGTAACTGCCCAGCCCACACGTAAGAAGGAGTGAGTGGTTATGTCCTGGCTCTTTGAGGTGGGGTATCTACATGTATCCTATAGAGGATTTGTCTCTTTTCCCCTTTTTTAATTTGTTCAATGACTGATTTATATCAGTATGAACTCATGGATATTTATTTTATACCTAAGGTTACAATTTGATACTTAATTTCTCAAATAGTTCTAGTGTTTGCTATTTAAAGCTTTTTCAGTCAGATGCTGTTCTCCTTTGACATACCCCCATCAGGGATTTGATTTTTTTTTTTAGCACTTTCTTACTTTCTGCTACTGTAAGATGCTCAAGATTCATGTTTTATATTTCCTATGCTAGTCCTAGAATCACTGATTTCCCCAAGAATCTCAGTTCCTTGTACTGGAGAATGGCAACAGAAACCAAGATCTGGGTGGAAGGGGTGCTCATTGCTCCTAGTGTACTGCTTCTTTCAGGTCCTCTCCCCTGACAGCCTCCCTTTAATATTACACCTGATCTGAGTCACATATTTGGTTACCAATCTGGCCATTGAAAACATTTAAGTGTTCTGCCCCAGGATCTAGATTACCTCCAAAGTTCCTTCCAAGGCTAATAAGCTTGTTAGGATTCAATAAGTCAAGGAACAGGTGGCCAATTATGGGCCCAAATTGAGATGCAAGAAATGAAAGTGGGGAAATTCAGAGCAAGGTTTTTATGGGCTCTACCCAATCAGGCACATACTCCTATGCATTCATTGCAATGACTCAGATATATATTTCTTCTTTTACTTACATTTCATCATAGCCCAGATTTACTTCATCTCCACAGAACTTCATAAGGCAGGATTTTTCAACTTTAACACTATTGACATTTTGAGCTGAATCATTCTTTGTTGTGAGGCACTGTCCTGTGCAAGGTGGGATGTGCATCCATGGTATCTACCTACCATATACCAGTAGCACCACCATCATTTTGGTGCGTGTGGATAAAATGAGAGTTTCTGTGGCCAGGATTCTCATGTGGCTGTGGTTGACTAGCTCACTGCACACCTGTGGGCAATACATGGCTGTTGACTCTACATAAAGAGTTTCGCCCAGTGCTCTGGGTGCAACACAGTGGCAGGCCTGCAAGGCTGCAGGAGAGCAGCCAGAGGCTGGAGTGGTGGCAGCACTGAGGACAGAGGCCCAGAGAATGGCTGTGCAGGACGACTGTGCAGAGAGGCCCAGAGGACGGCTGTGTGGGATGACTGTGCAGAGAGACCCAGAGGACAGCTGTGTGGACAGAGGGGCCCAGAGAATGGCTGTGAAGACAGAACGGCCCAGAGACAGAGACCGGCTTGCTGCATGCAGACTTGCTCTGAGTGAACAGGATTTTAGTGACTGACCTGCCACCTGCAAATAAAGTTGGGTATAACCCTTTCACCCCAAAAACTAAGAATAATTGACAAATGTTAAAATTGTTCTTCTAATAGCTGTGCTTAGAATTGTGTTTCCTTGTCTTTGGTTTTCTTGTAAGTTTCAGTGTTGGTCTGGCCACACTTATTTAAAAATGAAGAGCCAAAGTGAACCACTCTGGTCACTGCTGTCTGCCGGTTTCACTAGCACAGCATCACGCTCAAAGCAGAGGCTACTTACAGAGGGAAGGGTGCTGTGCTGGAAGTGAAGGCAGTTGGTTTCCAGAATCATGACTGTAATTCATAGTTGTGTGACATCAGTAAACCTTTCACTGATGGTGAGACTCTGGTCCTTTTATCTGCAAAATAAAGGAGGTAGACTAGATTAAGGGTTACAAAGAATTGGGCATCACTGGAGCAGGTTTCTTTGCAAGCTAAATCCATTGTGTTTTGCTCAGCCTGCAAAATGCTATCTAGGCAGGACATTCACTTCCTAGTACATCATAGCCTTACCCCTTCCTTTTCATCTTTTTTGAATTAAGACTTCATTTCTGGAATAGCTTTATATTTATGGAAAAAGTGAGCAGAAGTATAGAGTTTTCATATAGCCCCTGCACACAGCTTCCTCTGTTACCATCTTATATTAGTATGGTACATTTGTTACAATTAAGGAACCAATGTTGATACATTATTAGCTAAAATCCTTAGTTTATTTGAATTCCTTACTTGTTACCTGATGGCCTTTCCTATTCTAGGATTCTGGCCATGATGCTACATGACATTTAGCCATTGCATCTCCTCAGTCTCCTCTGGGCTGTGACAGTTTCTCAGACTTTGCCTTGTTTTTTATGACTTTGACAGTTTTCAGGAGTACTGGTTAGGTATTCTGTAGGATGTTCATCCACTGGCACATGTCTGAGATTTTTCTCATAGATAAACTTGTGGTCCTGGGTTTGGGGGCGGTGGGATCACAAAAGTAAAGTGCCCTCCTTATCACATCATATCAAGGGTACATACTATCAACATGATTTATGACTGTTAATATTGACCTGATCACCTAGCTGAAGTGATGTTTGTTAGGCTTTTCTGCTGTAAAGTTACTTTTTCCTCCTTTCCACACTGTATACTTCAGGAGGAAGTAACTGCCCAGCCCACACGTAAGAAGGAGTGAGTGGTTATGTCCTGGCTCTTTGAGGTGGGGTATCTACATATATCCTATAGAGGATTTGTCTCTTTTCCCCTTTTTTAATTTGTTCAATGACTGATTTATATCAGTATGAACTCATGGATATTTATTTTATACCTAAGGTTACAATTTGATACTTAATTTCTCAAATAGTTCTAGTGTTTGCTATTTAAAGCTTTTTCAGTCAGATGCTGTTCTCCTTTGACATACCCCCATCAGGGATTTGATTTTTTTTTTTAGCACTTTCTTACTTTCTGCTACTGTAAGATGCTCAAGATTCATGTTTTATATTTCCTATGCTAGTCCTAGAATCACTGATTTCCCCAAGAATCTCAGTTCCTTGTACTGGAGAATGGCAACAGAAACCAAGATCTGGGTGGAAGGGGTGCTCATTGCTCCTAGGGTACTGCTTCTTTCAGGTCCTCTCCCCTGACAGCCTCCCTTTAATATTACACCTGATCTGAGTCACATATTTGGTTACCAATCTGGCCATTGAAAACATTTAAGTGTTCTGCCCCAGGATCTAGATTACCTCCAAAGTTCCTTCCAAGGCTAATAAGCTTGTTAGGATTCAATAAGTCAAGGAACAGGTGGCCAATTATGGGCCCAAATTGAGATGCAAGAAATGAAAGTGGGGAAATTCAGAGCAAGGTTTTTATGGGCTCTACCCAATCAGGCACATACTCCTATGCATTCATTGCAATGACTCAGATATATATTTCTTCTTTTACTTACATTTCATCATAGCCCAGATTTACTTCATCTCCACAGAACTTCATAAGGCAGGATTTTTCAACTTTAACACTATTGACATTTTGAGCTGAATCATTCTTTGTTGTGAGGCACTGTCCTGTGCAAGGTGGGATGTGCATCCATGGTATCTACCTACCATATACCAGTAGCACCACCATCATTTTGGTGCGTGTGGATAAAATGAGAGTTTCTGTGGCCAGGATTCTCATGTGGCTGTGGTTGACTAGCTCACTGCACACCTGTGGGCAATACATGGCTGTTGACTCTACATAAAGAGTTTCGCCCAGTGCTCTGGGTGCAACACAGTGGCAGGCCTGCAAGGCTGCAGGAGAGCAGCCAGAGGCTGGAGTGGTGGCAGCACTGAGGACAGAGGCCCAGAGGATGGCTGTGCAGGACGACTGTGCAGAGAGGCCCAGAGGACGGCTGTGTGGGATGACTGTGCAGAGAGACCCAGAGGACAGCTGTGTGGACAGAGGGGCCCAGAGAATGGCTGTGAAGACAGAACGGCCCAGAGACAGAGACCGGCTTGCTGCATGCAGACTTGCTCTGAGTGAACAGGATTTTAGTGACTGACCTGCCACCTGCAAATAAAGTTGGGTATAACCCTTTCACCCCAAAAACGTTTTGCTGTCAATTTCTTTGGTCACATTGAATCCACAACGAACTTGCCTGGGGCTGAAACCCAATGGCAAAACAGTGTGACAACCAAAACTATCTCCAGACATTGCCAAATGTTCTCAGCAGGGCCAAATCATCCTGAGTTAAGAACCAATGCCCTAATATGGAAAGTTAAAATTTCAGAACTGGCTGCCAAATTCTTCTGACACCTCTGTCCACCTGTTTTCATGGACAGACATGTTCTCTGGGATTGGAGCCTGTACCACAATGAGCATCATACTAGA